CTCTCGGCGTCCAGCTCGTCGCCAGCTCCAGAGACCCGAAGGTGAGTCAGTCCATTGCATGAGGGTGTGGTATGAGACGGTTGTCATTCTCCTTGTGTGTTGCCTGCTGCTGCTCGTCAGGTGTTCCGCGATGCCCTCGTCTCGTGGACTGGCGAGCACGGCTTTGTCGACACGGTCCTCAACTCGCTGTCTGGCGACTTCATCAAGGCCTCCCTCGACGGCCTGCGGCAAAGCAGCGGCGGCACCTTCATCGAGCTCGGCAAACGGGGCATCTGGACAGCGGAGGACGTCGCAGCCAAGTACCCACACGTCACCTACCATGTGGTGGCCATCGACTCCATGATCGAGACGAGGCCCAAGAAGTTCCAGACCCTGTTGTCCCGCATCCAGACGGGCAGCAGACACCACCCCGAGGGCCTTCCTCTGACGGCCTTCGACATCAAGACTCAGTGTGTGGAAGCATTCCAGTTCCTGCAGAAAGCCAAACACATGGGCAAAGTGGTCCTGAGTGCGTGTCCGTCGCAGTCAGCGGCCAGCCGCCAGCGTGAGTGGCAGCGCAAGGCAGTGGAGGAGACAGAAGCCGCGATGCAGCGTGCTCAGCTGCCTGAGACTGCCCAGGACGGCGTCACCCATATCGATCTGGATCGGTTTGCTGCATCGGCAGTCCAAGACATCTTGGAGACGCTCCAGTCTGATGACGAGAAGCAGAAGGCTCAAGCCGACCTGTCGACAAGGCTCACAGACATGCTGCAGCAGACCAACGCGACAACCGTGGAGCTGAGCGATGAATCACAGTCATCGTACCCTTCGCTTATTCAGGAAAGCGTCTTGTACCTGAAGCAAGTGATCGAGTCTGGCTCCACAGCAGACGCCAGTGAGGTTCCCGTCCAGTCAGCCTCGCTGCGCGGTGCCTTCGAAGCGGCGTGGCAATCGTCGAAGGAGACGTGCCCTCGGGCGGAGCTGGTGTCGTGCATCCGTTCGATCGCTCGCTGCTTCCCGTCTGGTGGATTGTTGAAGGTCCTGCACTACTCAAATGGGCTTTCGTGTGTCCGTGACACCGTCGATGCTGTGGAGGGACGGCGCTCTCATCTCGTCTTTGGCGGAGACCAGGCAGCGTCGTCACAGACGCTCAGCCACTGCCCAGAAGACGTCCAAGTGGATTTCGTCTCAGTCAAACTCGACGAGCTTGACACCTGCTTTGCGCAAGGACAATTCAACCTGGCGGTCATTTGCGGCTTGTATGGCAAGGCGGACGACCTCGCCGACGCTCTCAAGAATGTCCGCTCGTTGCTGGCCCCGACTGGTGTGCTCTTGGTGGTCACCTGCTGTGGAGATGGGCCCCTCCACGGCCTACTGCGAGAGACGCTGAGCGACACATTCTGGCTCCCCACGTGGATGGAACTGAAGCAGGTGCTCGGCCACGGTGGATTCACGACCCATCAATCGTCGTCCCGTGGACGCGGCCGCCCATTCGAGATCGTGCCGGCATCAGCTGTCGAAGGACCAGGGACGATCCTTCCCGCTCCGCCCTCGACTTCATTTCATCCTGACGGGACCTATCTTATCACCGGCCGATCGGGCGTCCTCGCATTGATGATTGCCCGCCTCCTGGTCGAGAACGGCGCTCGACACATTCTGGTGCCCTCACGGCTGGAAGGCGGACGGCTCCCAGGCAACAGCGATCTGCCTGGCGAGACCGTCCCGGCGGAGGCTGTCCCGATGTACCAATCGGCCGCGTGGGAATGGCTGAGGGACTCCGTCGCAGAGGTCACCCCGGTGCCGGGCGATGTCAACGACATCACCTACCTCATCACGTTGCTTCGCATGATCAAGGCGCGTCTGCCGCCGCTGAAGGGGGTGGTTCACGCTGGCGGAGCAGCCGAGTCAGTGTCGATCCGCGAGCACACGAGGCAGCACTTCCAGCGGGCGGTCACGGAGGATGTGGGCGCCTTGTGGAACCTTCACCAAAGCACTCTGGATGAAGACCAGCTGGACGTCTTCATCGCCTGCAACTCCCATGCAGCAGCCTTTGGCGTCCCCCTGAATGTCAGCGCCGGGGCGGCCTGCTCGTTGATCGAGTCGCTGATTGTCTACCGCCAGAGCAAAGGTCTGCCTGCGCAGTCGATCGACTTTGGCGTCTTGTCGGACGGCGACGAGCTCGCTGAGATGACGGGCGGCGAGGCGGGTCGCATTGCCGTTCTCGCCAAGCAGGGGTTCCTACGAATCGACCGGGACTTGGCTGAGGGAGCCCTCTCGGCAGTCCTGATGCAGCATCGTCTCACTGCCATGTGCGTGTCGCCAATCCGCTGGGAGGCCCTGCAGCGGAGCTTCATGCGTCGCATCGGAGGGAGCTACTACGACGTCCTCTCACTGTGCAGCAAGCCCAGGATAGTCCCACTGAAGCGGGAGGGCGTCCATACCGTCGGCAAGGCAGGCCGCCCCCACGCCACTGACGAGGGCACGCAGACGTCGATGTCTGAGATTGCCAGCCCCGAAGAGCGGAAGGAATGGGTGACAAAGGTGCTAATCGAGACCGTGCAGCACATGACGGCCTCAACCAACGTCGCCCTGGCCATGAACACGTCACTGGTGGACTTGGGCCTCGACAGCCTGTCCGCCGTCGAGCTTCGCAACACCCTCTCGCGCCGGCTGGGCGTCAAGCTGCCCGCCACCACCCTCTTCGACTACCCCACACTTGGCGCCATGATCGACTTTCTGGTCGCCGAGACAGCATCTGAGGGCGAGAAGACTCCATGGACAATCGGGGCGCACATCAGCCAGAGGGCGGCTGTCGGCCCCCGAGACCGGCGGGCTGCCGTGACAGGCATGGCGTGTCGTCTGCCAGGCGGCAGTGACAGTCCTCAGGCGCTGTGGAAGATGATGATGTCTGGCAAAGACTGCGTGACGGAGGTGCCGCCAGACAGGTGGGACCATGACGAGTTCTATCGTGCCGACGAGAATGCCTCAGGATGGACGACGTACTCGAGGCATGGAGCCTTCATCGATGGAGTGGAGATGTTCGACCACACTGCTTTCAACATCACTCCCTTTGAGGCTGCCGCGGTGGATCCGCAGCAGAGGGTTCTGCTGGAGGTGGTCCTCGAGGCGCTTCACGACTCCAGCATGACCATGGAGAGCGTGCGCGGCACGCGCACGGGTGTGTATTCTGGGTGCTGCGGCAACGACTGGAACTACATCAACATCAGCAAGAGGCGCGACATGACCGCCTTCCACGGCACCGGCTCAGCGGCATCCATCATCTCCAACCGCATCTCGTTTGCCTTCGCCCTCCGCGGGCCTAGCATGACCATCGACACAGCATGCTCTTCCGCATTGGTGGCAAGCGACGCAGCCGTCAACGCCCTGAGGGACGGCACCGTCGATGTCGCCGTCCTTGGCGGCGTGCAGCTGCTGCTTTCCCCACAGAACTATGTCATCTTTGCCAAGGCCAGAATGCTCAGCCGAGGAGGACGCTGCAAGACATTCAGCGCACAAGCTGACGGCTTCGGTCGAGGAGAGGGATGCGTTGCCTTCATCCTTAAACCGGCAAACTCATCGTCGGGTCCTGCTGAGCGGATTCACGGCTTCGTGTGTGGTACAGCGGTCAACTCCGACGGCCGAACAGCCACCCTCCCCGCGCCCAACGGCCCCGCCCAGCGTGACTGCATCGCCGCTGCGTTAGTCGATGCGGCTCTCAAACCCAACGACATTGACTACATCGAGAGCCACGGAACGGGCACCGCCCTAGGTAAGCAATCCCTCACGTGAATGCACTCTTGCGCCCTCTGCATCTCACGTGTTTGTCTGCTTTGCCTGGGTGGACAGGTGACCCTCTCGAAGTGGGTGCAGTCCGCAGTGTGTTCAGCAAGGGGAGGAGGCGACCCCACCCACTGGTCATAGGCGCCCTCAAGACCAACATTGGCCATCTGGAGGGTGCATCTGGCGTGGCAGGCCTCATCAAGCTGGTCCTCGCCCTCCAGCGTGGGGTAGTGCCACCGAGCCTGCACTTGAGTGGCTTGAATCCGCACATCGAGGTGGATGATTTCCCCGTGGTGCTGCCCGTCGATGCGGTCCGGCTGCCCAGAGTGGCGGCAGGCGCCAAGGGCGGCAGGCTCTGCGCTGGCGTCAGCTCATTCGGCTTCGGCGGCACCAACGCACACGTCATCTTCTCGTGCGAACACAAACAGGACACCAGCGAGTCGAGCAGGGCTGCGAGGGGTGCACGTGTCGACGAGGCGACAGCCGTGAGTGGCCCTTGGGTGCCGAATCGTCGTGCGTTCCACTGGCAGGAGACCGTCCATCCATTCCTGGGTCCTGACATCGAGTCGGCGCAACAGCGGCGGGGCCTCAGGGGACGGTACCGTCGCTTCATCGGCAGCGACTTTCTGAGTCTCTTCAAGGATCACGTCGTCAAGGCCGAGGTGGTCTTCCCGGCTGCTGCGTGGATTGAGCTCTGTATTGCTGGTGCTCGCAAGGCCTTCAACAAGCCGCGGGACACCCCCATCATCACCAACGTGTCGTTCCAACTGCCGCTGGTGTTCTCGCGTGACGCAGGCAAGGTGCTGAGGCTTGCAGTGGGCGATGGGCCGAACCCCAAAGTGCAGGCGGCAACCGTGCCCGAAGACGCGGAGCAAGAGGCTGATAGTGAAGGCCAGATCATCCACGTCACGGCCAATGTCTACGACTTCACTTCGTCGGATGACGACGACAGCGACGATGCACCGGATGGCGGACGAGGGACGAGCACCTTGGCTGATCTGCAGGCGAGGATAAAGCAGCCCCTGGCCGTGGACACTGTGTACTCGAAGATGCGCACTGGCGGGCTGGAGTATGGTCCCGAGTATCGGACGGTGAGGAAGTTGTGGGTCGACAGCTCGTCCTCCGAGTGCCTGGGCGAGGTGCGGCTGGACCACCACATCGGTCCACTGGATGCTGCATGCAATATGCATCCCGCACTCTTGGACGGGGCCTTCCAGTCGGCCGGCTGTCTGGTCCGCAGTCATCAGCACACACTCCTGGTACCTGCCGGTGTGGAGTTGGTCTGTCTGGAGCCGTGCAAGGCGGATGAGACGCTCTTCTCCCATGCCGTGCTGAAGGAAAGCAAAGCGTCTGGTGTGGTGGTCGACATCGACATCTATGCGGCAGCAACGGGCAGGGTGGTGGGGCGGATCGAGCGGCTGCAGCTACGGCCCTTCCAGCCCAAGGCAGCTGAGAGACCCTCGTACGCCGACCTCCTGTGGAGTGTGGAGTGGGAGGAGGTCGACTATGACAAGCCGGTGGGGGACTCGGCCTTGGAGGCTCCCGAAAGCCCCACACTGTCAGTCGAAGAGTCGGAGTCATCGCCACGCAGTGCGTCAAGTCCCGCCTCATCGCTGCCCTCCTGCCTGCACCTTCGCCTGCCGTCGCCTGCCCGTCTGGTCACAGCAAACACACCGGGACGGACAGTGAGCAGGGATCAGCTTGTGAGCCTCACGGTCAAGGACATCGAGAAAATGCTCCGAAGCGAGGAGTGGGCCCTGGTCACGTACTGGGTGGGCGACGACTACGCCTCTGCTGAGGATGCCCTCGACGAGCTGTTGACTCTGTGCAAGGCGCTGAGGAATGTGGTCCTTCATCGAGACGGCACCAGCCGCAAGCCCCCAGCATTCACCTTTCTTGTCGTCACCCGCGACATCTTCCACATCCACTCGTCAGAGGAGGATGCACCACCGCTGTTCGAGGTCTGCCGGGCCCACATGGCCGGCATATGGGGTTTCCTGCGCTCTGCCCGGCTCGAGATGCCTGCCGGCATCACACTCGCGTCGCTGGACATCGAGCACGACTCGGAGGATGCCGATTCATCCAGCGGTGGGCTTCCAAACCTGCTCGGCATTGTCCAAGCCGGTGCGGGCAAGGTGCAGGAGGTCGAAATGGCGTATGCGACTCGTGCCGAGAAGCTCTACGCACCGCGCCTCAAGGACAGCAGCATCGCAGTCAAGGGGCCGATGGAGCTGCACATGGCGGAGAGGGGCGCCATGTCCAACCTATCCCTGCGCCAACTTGACGAGGCAGAGAGGATCGCCCCCGGTCCTGGTCAGGTGGAGCTGCGTGTCCGTGCGGTCGGTTTGAATTTCCGCGACGTGTTGAATGTGATGGGACTGTATCCGGGCGACCCGGGGCCGCCGGGCAGCGACTGCTCGGGCATCGTCACGCGACTCGGACCAGAGATCAACCACTTGAAGCTTGGAGATGACGTATACGGCATAGCGGCCGGCTGCCTGAGGACCTACGTGACCACATCGGTGCACACCATGGCTGTGAAGCCGACAAAATTCACTTTTGAGCAAGCGGCCGCCATGCCGAGTGTCTTTGGGACGGTGGAGGTCGCTTTCACGGACTTGGGCAAGGTGCAGGCCAGCAATCGTGTGCTGATCCACGCTGCGAGTGGCGGGGTGGGCTTGGCGGCGATTCAGTACTGCCGTCGTGTGGGTGCGTCGGTGTATGCGACGGCTGGGAGCGCCGAGAAGCAGCAGTACCTGCGGTCGCTGGGCGTCGAGTACGTGACGAGCACGCGAGACGTCAGCCGCTTCAAGACCGACATGAGGGCCTTCCTCGGCGTCCCCCAAGAGGGCGGCGGTGCATTGCCGACCGATGGCGATGCCGGCCTCGACGTCGTCCTCAACTGTCTGTCTGGTGAGTTCATTGACGAGTCGGTGAGCCTGATGAAGCACGTGGGCGGTCGCTTCCTTGAGATCGGCAAACGGGGCATCTGGACGAGGGAGCAGATGGCCGCTGTACGGCCGCAGGCTGCGTACCACCCGATCGCACTGGACGAGATGATTGAGGCCGACCCTGCCTGGTTTGGACAGCGGCTAGCCGACCTGACGAAGCTCGCAGATACCGGAGTGCTGCAGCCCTTACCGATTTGTCAATTCGATGTCGACGCTGCCCCTTCTGCCGAGGACCTTGACACATCGAGCGACCGCACCATGGGCGACGCCATCGCGGCATTCCGCTTCATGCAGAAGGCCAAGCACATCGGCAAGGTGGTCATCTCCTGGTCGTCCGCTGTCGATTGCGCCACTCGGTCCCCTTCATCGACCGCTGGGCCGGCCAATCCAGCGGATGTTCACGTGATAACAGGTGGTGTGGGTGGATTGGGTTTGGTGGTTGCCCGTTGGCTGGTGAGTGAGGGCGTCAAGTCGATAGTGCTCGTGTCGCGCAGAGGCGCCCCGCCGGCCCAGACCGACACCAAGACCGGAGAGCCCAACCCGCTCTACAGACACTGGCAGTGGCTCACGCAATCGGCCGCCAACGTCACAATCAAGAAGGCAGACGTCAGCAACATGGAACACGTGGACGAGCTTCTGTCAGGGATCGTTCCCGAGACTGACTTCGACTTGGGCTTGGACAATTCGCCGTCGAGTGGTGCGTGTCTTGGGGGATTGTGGCACGCTGCAGGGGTCCTTGCGGACGCACCTCTTGCAGAACAAACGCGCAGCTCCATTACGAGAGTCTTCGGCCCGAAGGTCAGTGAGTGAGTGAGTGAATGAACGAGGGAGCAACATGACGCATTTTGTCGATCAGTGCCGGACCTGTTTGTATGTCTCTCCTTTCAGGTGTGGGGAGCCTGGAACCTTCACGCGAGGCTCGCGAGGACATCTGTGAAGAACTTCGTCCTCTTCTCGTCGATCACCGGTGTATTGGGCAACAGGGGACAGACCAACTACTCGGCAGCCAACGCATGTTTGGATGCCTTAGCCCAGTGGCGCCGCAAGCACGGCTTGCCCGCTCTCAGCGTCCAGTGGGGCGGCTGGAAGGAACAGGGGATGGCGGCGCAACAGGCGAACCTGACCCAGCTGACTAGAATGGGCATCTACAGCATCTCCAACGACCTGGGCCTCCGCGTCCTGGACTCCCTCATTCGGCCCTCCAACCCACTCCCAGTCGTGGCCGTGCAGCCGCTGGCGCTCAGGCGGTTCATCCGACAGTTCGTGACGCCTCCCGCGTTGTTTGCGCGTCTCGCGGCCGGCACGGACACACGGTCTCGCGGAGAGGGAGGTCTGGACAAGGAGCTGGCGGGCATGTCGGTTGAGAAGAGGAGAGAGCGTGTGCGAGAGGTCGTCGTGGAGACGGCCAAGATGACGATGGGCATGGCCGAGGACAAACTGGACTTCGACCTGCCTCTGCAGGAGCTGGGCGTCGACTCGCTCGGGGCCGTGGAGTTCAGGAACGAGCTGTCAAGGAGGCTGGATATGCGCCTGTCGGCCACACTCCTCTTCGATGCGCCAACACTGGGCGCAGTGGTCGACCACATCGTCACGGAGACCATGATGGAGGCGGGCAGTAGGCAGGACGGTGGGGCCGCACTTGTGGGGGTGGATGCAAAGGCGGGTGGTGGGGTGAGCGGCGGGAGCCAGAACATTGCCATCGTCGGCATGGCGTGTCACTTCCCCGGAGAGTGCTACAGTCCACAGGCACTGTGGGACTTCCTGCTCAGCCATGGCAATGCCATCGACGACATGCCCAACATGCGATGGGACAAGGAGAGGCTGTGTGCAGTCACGGACCCCGACGACCCCCGCTGCCTCTGCTACACGACCAAGGGCGCCTTCATCGACGACGTAGACATGTTCGATGCCTCACTGTTCAACATCTCGCCAGTCGAAGCCACCAGCATGGACCCGCAGCAGCGACTCATCCTCGAGGTGGCCTACGGCGCGTTCGCTGACGCCGGCATGACCAAGGAAGCGCTGTCGGGCAGCTCTACCGGTGTCTTCATCGGGGCGTGCACCCACGACTGGTCCATTCTGAACAACTTGGCCATCTACGCCATTGTTTATGGGAACCAGGTCAGCGACGTGAGCGCCTTCATGGGCACCAGTAGCGCTTCGTCCATCATATCCAACCGGCTCTCGTACGCGATGGGCCTTAAGGGTCCCAGTCTCTGCGTCGACACGGCCTGTTCGTCCTCGCTCGTCGCGTGCGACATGGCGGTGAGGTCCCTGAGGCAGGGCGGATGCGACACGGCCCTCGTCGGCGGAGTCCACCTCATGATCGCACCCGGCAACTACGTCGCCTTCAGCAAGGCGCGTATGCTGTCACCGGAGGGGACCTGCCGGACCTTCGATGAGAAAGCCAACGGCTATGGGCGCGCGGAAGGGAGCGGAGCTGTCGTCCTGCGCAGGGCCGGTGGGGGGCGGAGTGGGCCCAACGGAGTGTGGGCGACGATTCGAGGGATTGCTGTCAACCAGGACGGCAAATCTGCGAGCCTCACTGCTCCCAACGGCCCCTCGCAGAGGGAAGTCATCGCACAGGCGCTCAAGGATGCGGGTGTGCGTGCTGCCGACGTGTCCTACATCGAGACCCATGGCACGGCCACCAGCCTCGGCGACCCGATCGAAATCGGTGCCCTGCGGTCTGTCTTTGAGGCCGGCAGGAGGCGAGAGAACCCGCTGGTCCTTGGAGCCCTCAAGAGCAACATGGGGCACATGGAGGGATCGGCCGGCATTGCTGGCTTCATCAAGCTGGTCCTCGTCCTCGTGCAGCAGACAGCTCCGGCTAACCTGCACTTGAGTGGCTTGAATCCGCACATCGAGGTGGATGATTTCCCCGTGGTGCTGCCCGTCGATGCGGTCCGGCTGCCCAGAGTGGCGGCAGGCGCCAAGGGTGGCAGGCTCTGCGCTGGCGTCAGCTCATTCGGCTTCGGCGGCACCAACGCACACGTCGTCCTTTCACGAGAACACAAGCATGACACGAGGTCTCTCACGGTCCAGCGTGAGGATCCGACAGAGCCACCTCCAATGGCTTCGGATGAGGACATCCAGCCTCCTGCGGACGGTCCAAGTGGTGCTGCTGCATCGCGCACCGTGTTCCTTTTCACTGGCCAGGGCTCTCAGCGCCTCAAGATGTGCGAGCAGCTCTACGAGTCTGAGCCGGCGTTCAAGGTGGCCCTCGACAGCTGCCATGAGATCCTAGAGAGGCAGTGCGGCATGTCGCTGCTGCAGTTCCTCTACGAGAGCCCGCCCTCCGACCCACCTGCATCGGACACAAGATACCTTCAGCCGTCCCTGTTTGCCGTCGAGTACGCACTGTCTGAGCTGCTCAAGTCCAAGGGCGTCACTCCTGACGCTGTCATCGGTCACAGTCTGGGCGAGTATGTGGCGGCCGTCGTGGCCGGCGTCATGAGCCTGGAGGACGGCATCTTCCTGGTGGCCGAGCGGGCCAGACTCATGGCGGAGCTCCCAGAGCAGGACGGCGTGATGGTGGCCCTGAGGAAGAGCGCAGAAGAGATGGAACCGACGCTGCATGAGATCATCTCTGAGGAGGGCGACGACATGATGGCCATCGGCGCCATCAACGGCCCCCAGAGTGTGGTCATTTCGGGACGGCATGACCTCGTGCAGAAGGCACTGGACAAGATGAAGGCGGGGAGCTACCGCTTCCTGACCGTGTCGCACGCCTTCCACTCACCCATGATGAAGGAGGTCGCCACGCAGTTCCGCAAGACGTGCGAGGCCGTCACCTTCTCGCTTCCAAGAGACGAGGTCCGATTCATCTCGACGGTGACTGGCCAGGAGATCACCGACGGGCTGCTGTCGCCAGAATACTGGGCTGACCACATGTAAGGCAAGCTGACTAATTCCATTGCAGCTATCGATCAGAGAACCACACTGACTGTCCTCTTTGTTTTCTCTCCTGTGTCCAGACTGAAGCCTGTTCGCTTTAGCGACGCCATGGTGTCGGCTCTCCAGGACGACTACGAGGTGTTCCTTGAAGTCGGCCCGGCGCCTGTCCTCACCAGCCTGGCGCAGCGGATCGACGCCAAGAAGGACAACAGCTCAGGAGGTCAGCCAACGATGGTTGCGGCGCTGCGGTCACCTACTGACGAGCGGCAAAGCCTCGCCAAGGCAATTGAGACAGTCACTGGCTGTCGAGAGAAAGCCCTGATGGCCCAGCAAGGAGACCGCCAGGGGCGAGGCCGGCGACAGTCGCTCCCGTGGCCTGAGCTGCGTCATCCTCTGCTAGCCAAGCGGCTCATGGCGAGTGACACCACTAGTGACAACAAGATGGTCTACCTGACGGCCATGCCCCGTGAAGGCTTGGCACTCTACAAGGACCACTGTGTCGCTGGGCAGAGCACCATGCCGGCCGCGGGCTTCATTGAGGTGGCCGTGTCGGCCATTCGGGAGCTGCAGGCAGAGGAGTGGCTCCACCGCACCGGCCACGACGGATCTGTCGTCCTTGAGGACGTCGAGTTCGAGAGACCCATGACGGTCGAGGCAGCTTGGGACCAGCATTATGACTTCAGGACTGCTCTCAGATTGGAGTGCTCCGTGACGAAGGACGGCACGGTGACGCTGGGCAGCCGTGAGGTGAGCGAGGACAGAGGACTCGCTCCGTCGGTGCGTCATGTGAGGGCGGAGCTCGCCAAGGACACCGCTCCATCAGTCGACCCGCTGGCAGCCGAGGACCAGCTGCAGAAGGCCAAGGCAGGCTGCAACAAGAAGCTGTCGGTCCCCCAGCTGTACGAGATCCTCGACAGGGTGGGGCTCAACTACGGCGAGACATTCAGGACTGTGTCGGCGGTGTGGCAGGGAGACAATGAGGCCCTCGGTCTCATCAGCCCACCATCCAAGAAGTCGATCACCCGATTCTTGAGCATGGACCCTCGTGTCGTTGATGGTGCACTCCATTGCGTCTGTGCCGCCGTCTCCTCTTCCGAAGCCACTGCGAACGTGCGGGCTGTGGTGCCTGTGGCCATAGGCCGCGTGCAGATTCGGCCCATCCCTCACGACAGCAGCATCTGGTCCCACGTCATGATCCACCCGAGCAAGTCCACGAGGACCAAGATCATGGCCGACATCCGTCTCTTCTCGGCCGAGGGCAAGCTCCTCGCCGCCTTCGACGAGTTCCGCTTCATGGAGGCCAACCTGAGTGGTCTGACCCCTCAAGTCGACCTCTCTACAGCCATGTGGAACACAGAGTGGATGCAGGTCGCCGCGCAGCGTAAGGCCACCCAGGAGTGCGTCGGTCGCTGGCTTCTCGTCGGTGGACAGTCTGCTGACGACATACTAAATCAAGTGGGCGGCGTCGAGGCCGCCGCGAGCTCACTGACAGTCCGCGCATCGACGGTCGAAGGCGTGGATAAAGCGCTGGATAGCGAGTCATTCACCGACGTGTTCTTCACGGAGTCGAGTGATGCGGCCCAGGACGCTGTGGATGTTCTCGAAGCCCTGACACAAGTGATCAGGTCGATGGTGAGGGTCAGTTCCGCTTCGGGATCGACGACGGCTCCAACACTGTGGGTCCTCAGCCGCGGCACGCAACAGGTGCTCTCGATTGATGAGCGCTTGCCCTGCGATCCAGTGCATGCTGGTGTGTGGGGCATGGCCCGCGCTGCTCGCCTGGAGGTCGGTGATGCAGTCGACATCCGATCGTTGGAACTCGACAGTGACGGTGTCGCTGGGGTGTCCGGAGTGCCGCTTTTGCAATCTCTGTCCAAGACTGTCACCACCTTCAAGGCCCCGGACGTCGACTCTCTTGTCGAGAACGAGATTGCTATACGAGGCCATCCGTATGTGCGCCGTCTGGTTCGTGGTCGGCATGTCGCCGAGGGCTCGGTCGAGCTGCACATGGCTGATCGGGGGGCCCTGTCCAACTTGATGGTCCGTCCTTTGAGCCACGCACAGCGCCTCTCCCCCGGTCCTGGTCAGGTGGAGTTGCGTGTGTGTGCGGTTGGTTTGAATTTCCGCGACGTGTTGAATGTGATGGGACTGTATCCGGGCGACCCGGGGCCGCCGGGCAGCGACTGCTCGGGCATCGTCACGCGACTCGGACCAGACGTCACCGGCGCCACTCAGCACCATCCGCACTTCCGAGTGGGCGACGAA